CCTGCTGGGCTTTTCTCCGACCACGGAGACAGGGAGAACTGCAGGGGCTGTCAGGACTCCAGGGTTCCACTGTCCCCTTGCCCTGCCTAGAGAGTGCCAAGGGGTGTGACTGTGATGATTCCTTCCAACTGCATGCAGGGGACAAAACAGCCTTGTCACGCCGCAAAAACAGAGCGATGTTCGCGTATCCCACCATGAACTCCTGGCTTGGGCCGGTGGGTGGCTCTGGGCTCTGTTAGCGGAGTCTGCTTCCCACCCCGTACAGAGGGATGTCACCTACCTCTGTCATCTGCTGTGGTGACACTGACGGTCAGGTTCTGAGGAGGATCTGGAAGGACAGACACAGGGAGGGTCAGGTGCAAAGTTGGCCTGTGGTCCTTAACAGCACCCCAGGAACCCAGAGACAGAGCAGGAAGCAGGGCAGAAGAGGTGGTGTCCACCCTTGGCTTCCTGTCCCAGCACTCACAGGACACACTGAGCTGCACAGTCCTCTCCCTGGTCACACCAGCCTGAGGGAAGGTCACCCGACAGGTGAGTTGGGTGCCATGATCTTCAGGGCGAGGAGTAAGCAGGATCTCTGAGGAGGTATGGACCCCGAAGCCCGACCCCGGGGGTCTCAGGGATGATCCATTCCAGGAGAACCTGGGAGCCCTGACCCCACTGCAGGTCCCGGGCATGGAACACAGCAGGCGGCTGAGGTGACCCGACACCAGGGGCTCCGGGATGTGGATGTCCGGGGTCTGTGTCAGCTCTGGGGAGGACAGAAGGACAGGACCGTGTGTGCCCGAGACAGACACCTCAGTCCTGGGGGTCACCACCCTCTGCTGACCCTTCCACACCAGGACAGGACACCCTCCGTGTCTCTAAGGATCCTCCCAGCCTGCTGCCCTTTCCAGGGGGACTGTTCCTTACCTGTCACAGTCACAGTCAGCATTGGTCTAAGGTAACTGTACTTCAGTGATCCTCTCTCCACCCGAAAATAGTAACGTCCACTGTCCCCCTTCTGGGCACCTGCAATCTTCAGGGAGCAGTTGTGGGCCCTGGGGTCCCCAAGCAGCTGGAAACCAGCTTTGCTTTTCAGTCCAGCTTTCTTTCCCGGGTCGTTTGTGGCCACAAGTTCATCTGTTGTATGGGCAACTTTCCCATCCTCCCTCTGCCGGTACCAGTAGCCGCGAACAGGGTCAGAGTGGTTCCAGCCTTCCGGGGGTAGGAGAAGGAGCAGGGCACCAGGACACACAGGTTCTCCTGCACCGTCACAGACTTCTCCACCTTCAGCCAGTAGTCTGGTTTCTCCTGCAGGGACCCTGGGGGGACACAGAGGCTCAGATGCAGCCCCGGGCCCCACCTGGGAGCCCCGAGTTTCCCCTACTCACCCGCCCACAGCAGGGGCAGCAGCAGGGCCAGCAGCAGCATCAGGGCAGGGAGGAGCCGGCCCATCTGGGACTCGCTGGCCTCCAGTTTGTTCGCTGTCAACGATGCCTGGGCAGGAGGCCCGGAGGTCAGGCACTGACAGTCACAGGGAGGAACCTCAGGAAATGCACGGTCCCCATAGATCCCCATTCTGACTTCTCCTTTCACACATGGGTGGCAGGGCAGGGGCCGGAGGGACTTGGTGCCCCAGGAAGGAGCCATCCTGGCCGAGCCCCAGGGCAGGGTGTCTCGGGAGAGGGGCTCACAGGGGAACGGTGCGCAGGGGCCAGGTGGGGGAGGATCCTGTTCACTCCCTCTGCGCGTCCCAGCAGGCATCTACTCCATGCAGACATGAGAACCCAGAAAATGACCCCCAAGCCCTGCCGCATGGGCCTTTCCTCTCTGGGCCCACAAATTCCGCGCCATCCACGTCCCTCCCGCCCCACACACTGCTCCTCCTGCCTGCCCTTCAGGAGACTCTGCGGCTAGTCAGGCACCAGCTACTGGGGAGAAGAGGCGGAGGCACGGGGCTGGGACCCTCGAGGGCGCGACACTGCGATCTGCAGCTCTGAGGGTGCCATCGTGAGACCCTTCACAGTTTTGTGTTTGCATCTGTGTTCGGAGCTGAAGACCGACAGCGGAGTGGAACCCGAAAGGCTGCTTTGGAACCGGATCTCAGGAGTCCGCACTGCTCCACCTCCTCACCTCCTCCTTCCCAGAGAGCTTCTTGGCCCCACCGCAGCTCCTGTTACCCGAGTACCCTGAGCACATTTAGGGGTCTGCCCTGCCCACCCTGAGCCCCAGATTCTTTAAGGCTGAAGGATGGGATGTTAACAAGCAAAATAAGTAAAATGATATGGATTTTAGCGTGCAGCTCAGTGGTACCGTGATCGCCCCCCATGTATGAGGCCCTGGTCCCATCCCAGCACCAAAAAATCTAACAAATAAGAAATCTGCCATGAATAAATCCTGTTCTGTGCACAGATATGAATGTTCCTCAGCCACCAAAGGGAATGGAGTCTGCTATGTTATAAAACTAGAAAACACGACCCTGAGTAGGCGAAGACAGACAGATAATGCAAGAATCCGGTCCTGTGAAATATGCAGATTAGGTAAAGTCCTCAGAGACAGAAAGTAGGTTAGAGGCTCCCCGGGGAAGGGAGAGACTGAGGAGCAGGAGCAGAAATGGCTTCCTGCTGGAGATTTTCTGTCTGGACCTAGGGTGCAGCCAAGGCTGCCTACGCAGGGGCACGTCCTTTGTGCTGGTGAGTTCGCACTCCAGATGGTTACAATGGCAAATTTTACACTGTGTCTGTTTCATCACAATTCATTTCACTTTCATTCACAAAGAGTCGTTGCTTACATTTATTGGCCACAATGTGACGTTTTGGTAAATGTATTCTTAATGAGATAATTAAATCCAACTCATTAAAATACCATCAGCTCACAAGCATTCATCTATTTTAGTCAGAACGTTTATGATCTACTCTGTACCCATTTGTACTACAGTAATACCTCATTTCACAAACACTTCTTTTTATGGACAATTCAGCTCACAAATAGAACCATTCACCAAAGTGTTGCTTCCACTCACCATCCCTGGCTGGGTGAGAAACACAGCATCGCCATCTTCCCCGGGGTCACGGAACAGATTAAGTTCGTGACCGAGGAAGCCCTGCAGACCCGTCACTGCCCTCGGCCTGCTGTGAAGTCCTTCGCTCACAGTTCCCGTCTGCCTGTCACCTCCCGCCCTTTGACAGCACATTTCCTCCCCACAGGCTCTATCGCCGACCCCTGGGACCACGGTCCTCTTTGCACTTTTCTTTCTTCTTTATTTGTAACATGAAGTCCTACTATGCTTCTAGCAAGAATTCTGCCTTTTGCCCTGTGGGAAAACACCCTTTTCATGTGTTCCAGCGCTGCCGTTTCCCTCCCATCCCCTGTAGATCAGGCGAAAGGCAGCAGCACTGCCCACGGCACAGTCTGAGCTTTGGGATGAGGGGAAACTGGCTCCACCCGCTGGCTCAGTACCCGGTCCTTCTTCCCCGTCTCTCTCAGAGGCTGAGGGCGCCAGCCAAGCGCAGACTCATTTTCTGCAAGGGCATAGCACACAATCTCTCCAGTCCCACTGCCAGTGCAGACCTGGCACCCACCTAAAAGCCCCCGAGTCTGGGCTTTCTGTTCTACAGGAATGTCCCTGTCAGCACTGTGTTCTTCTGAGCTGTGACCAGTAT